TTTGAGACAGCTGTTTCTCTGTGGCTTTCGAGGCTGTCCTGGAACTAGCTCTTGTAGACCAGGCTCGTCTATGGGTGTCTTGAAATGTTTCTAGACTAAGGAGACTCTTCACTTTTTTTCTTATAAAGTATTGAGAAAGTCATAGTGTGGAATGCTGTGACCCAAATTGGTTCTCTCCAAATTAAAGCTGAAAGCAACTGCATTGGGAGATGATACTACTAGTAGGTAATCGAGGTTAACAAGGTCATAAGGCTGGCATCCTAATCAGATAGGACTGGTGGTGTTATCTAAAGGGTGGATTCATTTCTATATACAGACATACACACCCAAGAAGGAACAGAAGGGCAAAGGCAAACAGAAGGCAGGGAAGGGTGGCAAGGTAGGAAGATATTGCAGCATCTTGGAACTAGTCTCTTTGCCTTCAGTCTTCAGAATCATGAGCATGGATCTGTTATTTACAACACCATTTTACAGAACCTTTTATGGCAGGAAGGACAGGAATGATAGTCAGCTGTTTATTAGACAGTAGATTATATACAGAATACCTATGGTGTTTCAGAGAGCATTTGCTATCCTAAAGTAGGGAAGGGTGATTTAACCCCAAACAATCCTCTCAGAAGTTAATCAGTACTGTAAGAAAGTGTCTAAAGAGCTCTGGCTCTGCTATGATTCTGTTTCCTTGCCATCGTCCCTCCTACTGGAGTCTCTTAGTTGTCAAACATTTACCGTGTTCCTCCCTTAGCACTTAATTCTTCAAAAAATCCACATCCTTCAGTCATAGGGTGCAACAGTAGCTTGCTTGGTATTCAGCTAGTAACAGAGTAGGCTGAAAGAAAAGATAATTTAAATATGTAGGATTTGTATATGGTTTAGACTAGCAGTGTTTAGACTGCCATTTTTGGCCAGCATCAGAATATTTCTGGCAGAAAAAAAAAACATTGTGTTAACATTTATGAATCCATATAGAGAATATTCAATCTTGTTTACCACTTTTTAACGTTCAGGGAAATGTGCCAGCCAGAGAAAGCATGTAGCCTCTCTAATTGGTAAACGGTCACTCTATACCAAATGGATCTTCTCTAGACTTACTGGAGCCACTTTGTTGACACCACATTTTTAATACCATAGACCTATTTCAGGTGTCTGATCTCCTGAACATAAACTTCTCCTAACATGAACCAAAAACATTGTAATTGTTTGTTATTGTATTAATAGACTGCTAAAATTCTTGGCATACCACTCATCTATCAACTTGTGCTAATACAATAAAGTGTCTAAAACAAGGGAATTTATAAAAAAATCAGAAATTTATTTCTCACAGGTCTGGCCATTGGGAAACCTCACATCAATGTTTTTTTGTTTTTGTTTTCAGGAGGGCTCCACTCTGCCTTGAAAAGGCATTTTCAGACCACACCACCATGGAAAGCATCCTCATAGTAAATCATGAGGCATATCTCCCACAATGAGTTCCATTATGCAGGTGGCATTTCAGCAAAGCATTCCACTGATCCAGGTAATCTGTGTGCCTAGAACTCCATGGATTGTTTTTGGAAGCAACCTGAACTTAATGGACCAGGTACCTTTTTTTTTTTTCATCATTCATAAGGAATGAGACCTTAACATCAAGTCTAAAAAGTTCTGTATCATATCCATGACTTTTTATTTAAAATGCTTTTTCCCATTTATTTTCTGTCTGGATCTAAATGAATTATAACCGTGTGTACTTCAGTTCCTGAAAGGTTATGTTTTGAAATGGACATATCCCCAAATGTCCCATGTTTTTAATACTTCTTCCCTATTGGTGGAGATTTCTGGAAGCAAGCTAATGGAGAAAGCCTTTGAAAGGTGTGCATATTCCATACTGTGTTGATCTCTGCTTCCTAGTTTCCCCTGTTGTGAAGTTATTGTCACCATATACTTACCTGCATCATGGTGGAGGGAAATTATGAGCCTAAAGAAAATATTTTACATTTAGTTGTTTCTGTATGGTATTATGGTTGCGTTTATCAGATAAGAAACTAAAATAGGAAAATAAGTGAACCAAAAATGTGTGTTCAAACAACCATCACTGGACAAGAACTCCCGAGATGCAAAAAGGCAGAGATGGAGGCACCAGGGCTACTCTTTTTTATTGGGAATCAGAACAGAAGGACCCTCTCGAATTGAAAATATGTGAATAAAATACAGCCATGACACAAATAAACTTTATTCCTATGCTTTTTTTTTTTTCCCAATTACTCAACAGTAAATCAAGAAACTTTAAGGTTCCTTAGGGAGCTCTCTGAACAACGAATAAAGGGAGAAATGTTAAGAAATGATGTCAATGTGACTATAAAAGCCTTATCCCTTGTTTGTGTTTGGAAGACGCTTGATGGATGATATGAAGCATGGCCTGACAATAACAGAGTTAATGGTTCTTAGAAGGCAAAGGCACTATTTTTCTTTGTATTGGTCTGAACACAAACAACCAACTCTTCCCCAGAGCGTTTAACCTAAAGCTCTTGTTTAATCTAATGGTACTTCACTTAGATTCCTAGGGTGACTTATCTCCCTGGTCAATCAACTGGGGCTAGTTTACTAACCTGTTCCCCTCTTTAACTGGGGTGTCCCAGGGAAATTTACATTCTTTAGACTACTTCTGCCAGGCTTCTGTTTGGTTCTTTCTCCAATCTATTTATCTTAGCTAGTGCCATTCTCTACTTCAAGGCCACCAGGGTCAATAATCAAATTAGGAGGAGACCTGAGTCTTACCCTTCTGGGTGGTAAACTTCAGATGACCATTTTGCCCCTGGCAATAGGGAAAACAGGGTGGAAGCTGAAATTCCTTCCCTAGAATCCAAAGCTCTTTTGTCAAGTGACCACATTTTCTAAGAAAGCCTTCAGAGCAGAGTGTGTATTCAAAGTCTGCATCTAGCTTGTGGATGTTTAGGTTTCAGGTCTGTCTCTGCAACTAGGAATGCAACACATGTCTGTGGAATTGAGAAGTGCCACATGTTTGCAGAGAGCAAATTGTTCAAGTTCTGCCATAATACAGAGAACCCTTTATAAAAGAACTCACACATTCATGCAGAACATTTTCTTGAGTGCAGAAGGAGACACAAGGTTTCTGAAGACCTGAAATGTGCTCAGAAGTCTCCTTCAAAACTAAAGTAATTTCTTTGACTTACAAGTCATTCAGTGCATCCTAATACCAGGTGTGAAATAATTAAAATATTTTTTTTATTTGTGATAGAGCTTGTGAACTTTGCCTTAGAGGTTTAAATAGTGACTATTCCATTGTAATACATAACTATTAACTACTGAGCATAAAGCGTGAGTGAGAAGGACAAAAAAAATGTAATGTTAAATGACACATGTGGACTGGAATCATTTAAACTAAATCCAGCATCTCAAATGTGTGCTGCAGTTCTTGGCTCACAGGATGTCATTAAAAGCTATAATTTGCTGCCTAAAGTGGCAGTCTTGGTTATTATGAAACTTTTTTTTTTCAATCTGATTACAGGGAATAGAACTGATTATTTTGGTGATATTTTCTAGGGGATAGTCTCAGTTTCATTGATAAAACTCATGATACTACAAATGAACACCTGTGCAGATTTAAAAAACGATCCTTCAATAAATGATACACAAATCCTAATTTGCTGCAATAAAAATGGTATGTAAATTAACATCAAAACAAAAATGCATGTCTACATTTCCAATAAACTAGAGGCATGTTAGTTACATTACTTGGTTTGAATAACAATTTCATCACTTATGTCACTTTGGCATGGTAAATGATCTCTCTACCTCAGTTTCCTAATTGATATAATAAATATGGTGATTTGTATTGCTCAGAACTTGGTGGGAATTAAATATTTTAATGAATATGCAAAGACTATGAAGATGATAAAGTTTCACACATATTAAGCACTTTTAGATGCTATTTTCTTGTCTTTTCTGTTCTTTTGGAGGGTCTGTTTTGGTATTCTAAGCCAAAATACTTTGATTTGAAAGTAAAATATTCATGCAGTCATAATATTACTAATACAAATAATTATTTTAATGTTTTATGATATACCTAAGAGAAGAAACATATAATTAACTCATTGCATAGTTGTTTTCTGGCCAAGGCTTTATTTTTAGGCAATCCTATGATTTGCTGCAAAAAAAATCACTGCAAGAATTTAGACATTTTAAAAACACTGAGCAGGTTATATTTTGAAATATATATGTATATGCATGAAATAACAATCAGTGAAACAAGAAGTCATGAATTTGTAGAAGTATAGGGAGGTTTTTGAGGGAGGGAAGGGAAAATATATTTTGTAATTATAATCTCAAAAATTAAAACCACGAGTAAAAATAAAAACATGGCACTCAGTGTTTATTTTATTATAATTGGGGAACAATTCATTATTGTAAAATAATGTATGAAGTACTTTTTATTTTCCTTATGACTTTTATATTCCACATACTCAGGAATTTTAGCAACAGAAACAACTTGGAATAGTCATATCAAAGTCTATATCCAGTATAATTTATGATCAGAAACATATCAACTATGCTATTTTAAAACTTAAGCGTGCATTGGTGGTTCAGTGGTAGAATTCTTGCCTCTCATGCTGGAGACCAGGGTTCATTTCCCGGCCAATGCAGTGTATATGGGAAGAGCGGGGAGGGAATGGGAAGAGGGGGGAGGGAGCTATGAGGATGAGAAGGGAAGAAGAGGAAGGATGCAGAGGCCATCAGCCAGCAGAAAGGCTGAGTCAGGTGTAGATTAGAAGAAATTATATGTGATTGGTAGGGTTTTAGTTGGGGGGTGGTAGGGGAGGAAGGGAGGGAGAAGGCCACTGGGATTGTCATGTAATTCAATTTTGCTTGTAATTCAAATAAAAAAAAAACTTGTGTAGCTTGTACTTTATTATCTAGAGAGTTCTTTACATCGAAATGTTGATATATCAGTGAATATATTAAATCTATACTTGAGAGATCTCTTCCTCTGATAGAGAAGCCATTTTCTTTTGTGTATTATAAAGGAATTTAGGATTGAGGAAATCACAGAAGATAACAAAGACAGGGAGAATTTTGTTCAGAAAGGTTAATAGAAGAGGACGACCATTAAGATGACAAACTCTAAATTTTAAATAGAAGAGAGAAGAAATGTAGATTTTATTTTTAGGGAAAACAAAGGTTCAAAAATCAAGTCCTTCTCTGAGTTGAATCCATATTAGGCAGAAAATAGACTTGCAAATTTGAAATGTGTATGTAAAAGTTGTTAACATTTTTTGCCAATAATATGTATACTATTATATGTAAAAGATATTTCTAAAATGAAGTAAGAATATGTCATCTGATGACTTATAATAAATATTGGAAAGGGATAATGCACCCAGTCCTGTAGTGGCATTAAAATGTGAATCCTTGGCCAGTGGGTCTAGCAGTCTTCTTTTAGAACAATATGGATGTCTGCTCTGTAATTTCATGTGCTTGAGCTATATTTCTAGGGTAACAGTTCAGAGAGAGGGTGGGGGTCTAAAGGAGGTAGGTAGGTTATATATTTCTCCTTAGGCCTAGTATATTCCCACTTAAACAAGCTGTGATAAAAGCCAAACTTGTTCATGAATCCCTCTGACTGATAATCATATGGTCCATTTCCTCTGCACACAGCCCTTTCCCTTTTTGTTTCCCCTCCTATTTTCCTCCAAATAAGCATTATATTTATCTTAAGAATTCCTTTTTTAGACGTTCTTATTTGAAACAGTAGATGGACAAGAAGAACAAGGAATAGACTAATGCAAACTACTGGAAATCTTTTCATTTTCTATGGAAGAAATCTGGATACAGAGTCTGTGTTGGAGGTCTCTTTAGACTGTGATGTGTCATATAAAAATAATGTCCCCAGCACTCCAAAATTGGACTTTAGAGGTAATGAGATTTTAACATTTGACTTCTTCTGAGACAGCTTTTTTCTTAACTTAAAACTCTGGCAATGGAAGAGAGAAACCATTAAACAAGTGTGGGCTACTTTATGTTCTCTGCATTTCCTTCTGCCTTCTAAAATAATAGTAACCTAGGTTAGCATTAATACTCTCAAATGTATAAACAATGAACATCTGTCCAGTTGAACCAACCCCCCGTGTTTATCATTGTTTGGTAATCATGCATTTGAGTTAAAATGTAGCTGGTCTCTGATGATGAGACAGTTCACTCTGTACTCCAACTCATAGACTTTATCATGCCCCAAGAAATGGCTAAACAATTAACATACAGTTCATTAAATCAGAACATCAAGCCCTTGAAAAAATCCCAGGGTGCTGGGAAGTAGTTGAGGTGTGCAGGTGTGACTACTTAAAACTCCTGTGGCTGGGGAAATCATCCTACTTCAGTCTTGTTCAGCCTGATTATGTATAAACAAGTGATCCTTATTCGTCATTTGTGTTTTGTTTGCCAAAAATAAAATAACAAAATGAAATAACCTGACAGTTTTATAGCACAAATGAATCACAGTACAAGTTTGGGAGAGTAAATGCTAAAAACACCTTTTGAGAATTAAAAGTCAAGAGGCCATGTAACTGAGACATGTAGCATGCAGCCCCAAAATTTCTAAAGTTGAAGGCTTGGGAAGTCTAACTATATCATTATCAGTTTTAAAAGGAATTAATTTTATCATAATTATGAAAACCAAGTATTTGGAGTATAATTAGTTTTACAATGATAATATTTTAATGTTCGTGGTATAATCTATTTTTATTTCCCACCTACTTTAATTTTAATGCACTTGTCTACATACATTAGTAAAAAGACATAAAATGCTCTTTGCCACTGTGAATTTGGAAGTTCTTTGAACAACTCTCAGACTTCTCATTCTTTGATCAAATTAAATGGACGACTGAAGCCTGTACCCTCCAGGCAGTTTTTTAGATAGGAAAAGATCAAATGAAAGCAATTACACTGTAATTTGGTTGGTAAGGTTTAAAATAAGGAGCCTATTGAGAAGTGCTCTCATACTTCAACTCCTGCATAAATAGCTGATTTTTATGTTTAAATTAATATAATCATGCTGAAGTACCTACTAAAATACAAGGTAGGTATAATTGATTCTAAAATTCTTCTTTCAGAAATAAAATATCTCAATTTGAAACAGTATAGAATTTGCACAAGAAATAGTGTTGATTATCCATTTAAATATAATTTTATTTAGATTAATTAATATATACATTAAAAGTTTTAAGGTCTAATTGAATACCCATAATTATACAGAACTCTGTCTACCTACTTTATTAACCTCTAACTAGTATTATTGATACACATACACAGTGATATTTACTTTGTAATATAGTGTAAGTAGTGGACTTAATATTTTAAATGTGAGTATGACATTGGTGATCAAAATTGTGTGTGTGTGTTTTAATTTACATCTTGGATGTGTTTGTGGGTTAGAGGGCACATTTATAGGACAGATTTCACTCTATAGTTTTTGTTATTTGCTTGTATATATTTGTATGCTATGTGCATTTTTGTTGTTGTGTGTATATGTTTCAGACAGTTTTCACTTTTTAAGTATATAGTGCATTTATTTCAATTGACCTTTTATTATTTTTACATCCCAACTGCAGCTTCTTCTGCCTCCTCTCTTCACAGTCCCTTCTCCTACTCCACTCTGCTCTGCGCCCCCCCCCCCCCCCCCCCCCCTTTTTTTTTTATAAAAAAAAAAACAAAAAAAAAAAAAAAAAAAAAAAAAAAAAAAAAAAAAAAAAACAACAAAAA